GCAAAAAAGAAAGCCTTGGTTTTTATTTGAGTGGGGAAAAATTTTTGTTTTTCCCTGTAGTATTTTTTTCTTTAAAATTTTGTCATAATATTTATCACTCTTTATTTTATGTCTTCCAGATTTTATTTATGATTTTAAAAGGCCTTTTTTCCCAGGAGTATATACAAAATTTTTATACCTTTTTCTATTCCTCATATAATCCTATTTCTTATGTTTAAATTGTTGATTGATCTGAAATTTGTTTACAGGGCTAGAGGACATGAGGTAACAAACTTTTTTTACAGATGGCACTCCAGTTGTCCAAACACCCACTTATTGAATAATCCACCATTTATCCATAGTTCTTTGAAATTCTATCCATATTAATGTACACTCTTATACCATATTGGCTTCTTATAATATAGAGCAAGATTTTAAAGTTAATTGTGGAACAACAAAAACAAAATGTTGAATGAAATCAACGTTATGCACCATTGGGTTTTATGTGAAACCCAGTTTCAAATCCTTGGATTTTTAAAAGATCAGTTTTCTTTTCATATATGGTTATGTCTTATATTCAAATTTTCTAGTTCTTGTAGTTTTTCAATGGCCTTTAATCTTCATTTCTTTCTATGATTCTCATAATAGTCATAGGAGATACCAGCATAAAAATATTATTTCTTCTTTGTTATAACTCATGAAATTGAGGTTAAAAGAGGTTAGTTATGACATTTAACTAAGATCAAATCTGAACCTTTCTTATCTCCATTTTGGATTAACTCTCTTTGTAAAACATCTTGACCCTTATTCTAATTCTTATTACTATTCCTATTCTCATTGTCCTTCTTTATCTTCCTTTGACCTTTTACCAGTTTAAGAGAAAATAGTATGAAAGACCTAATTTTATTTCTGCCATTGAAATAATGTATTTGTCTAATTCAATTCTTAAAATTTAGTTACTAGATATTGAAGTATAGTTATTAGATTGATTAATGAAAAAACTTAGACTGCTATAAATTATTTTTAGTGACCTGTTCATTTTGACTTTGCTATTTGTTAAATTAGCAATTAAAAGGCTTCTTTGCTTAATTTTTATGGGGTTTAAATTAAGTAGTATGGATCATGCTTCTTAAATTCAATATTGACTGGATACTTAGCACATATAGGCTTCTTGAGTGTTTATTGAATTATTCATATGAACATAATCACAGTGCAGTGGGGGATAATGCAGCAAAGATACATAGCATAGTCCATGAGAGAAGTTTTGCCTGGAGGAGTCTTGGAGAATATCTGCAAAATAATTTTTCAACATCATTTTCTCATTAAGTAGGAGTTAGAGTTGTAGAGCATAGGAAGATTGAATTCACTTTTCCCAAAGGGACAATGTAGTTAAAGTGCTGTGGGTATTATCATGTATTGAACTTTTAAAGAAAGTCTATAAGATTGTGCTACTGAGTTTTGATTGGATGGTGGGACTCATCAAGAGTGCTTTCTAAATTTTAAAGCATTAAAAATAAAGTGTATTATTTTTAGAGAAAAAATGTGAAAACAAAAGAAATTAAAATGCAAAACGATTACTAACAACTTTATCCCCTTTTTGTACTTTTACCCTCTTTGTTTATTCAGTGTTTATGAGATGTTTCAGATATTTTTTTAATAAATGTTTTTATTGCTTGCCATAAAAAAGTGAAATAAAAAACAAATGGTAAAGAAAAAGGAGACATATGTAAAACTTTAGAAAAAAAAAAAGAAGCAAATCATATTCAAAATTTAATTGTGATACAGATTATTAAATAGCTATTCAATTAAGAATTAAAGCGCATATTATGGCCCTAGCCAGTTTGGATCAGTGGATAGAGTGTCGGCCTGCAAACAGAAGGGTCCTGGGTTTGATTCCAGTCAAGGGCATGTACCTTTGTTGAAGGCTCCTCCTCTGCCCAGGCCCTGGTTGGAGCTTGTGTAGGAAGCAACCAACCAATGTGTTTCTCTCACATCAATGTTTTTCTCTGTCTTTCCCTCTCTCTTCTACTTTTTCTAAAAATCAATGGAAAAATATCCTCGGGTGAGGATTAAAAAGAATAATAATAAAAAAAATGCATATTATGGTTATTTATTCTAGACATTTATGTACCAAAACTGCATCTTTGTTTTGTTTTCATTGTTGACAGATATATGTGTATGAGCCTTGTGTATTTAACTTTTTCTCTAATCATTAGAAATAGCTAATATAATAGGTGATTATTTGTTTTTTAGTATTTGTAATGCTCTAATGTACTTTTGACATCCTACAGATGGGAAATTCTCATTTTGTTTAACTGGTATTTAACACCTGACATACAGGGACTCACACCTAGGAAAATAACTTACAATAGGCTTGCTGAGTTCTGAGAACTTTCCTCAAGGCCTAAAGGGAAAATTTTCCCGGGAAGATATACCATTAATTCTTTACAAACATTTTTTTTTTCTGAAGAGCACATGTGTCTGTGAACATTTGTAACCTAGATGTCCTGCTTTCTCTCAAGCACAGGAGGATCTATTGAAAAATGTCTCCACATCACACCGAAACAAAAAGTACAGCCCACGCTGTTAATGCTAGTGATGTCTTGTAAATTTAAGCCACATAACTCAGGCAGAAATTCCAGCTGTTAAAACACAGATAATGGGAAGCCAGTGTAAGTCGTGACCAGCATTCTCAATAGGGTTAAACACCAACATTACACAGTATTTGAACCATAAACTCGATTCCTTTGGGGTCATTGACAGTGTCATCATGCCTCAGGTTTTCTGGTTGGTTTGGTTGCTAAATCCCACTTCATGGAAGAAAATTATATTACTCGCATTTTAGTATTTTATTGGATTGTGCACTAAATTATATACTGCATTTAAGACCACATTGAACTTTCAAAATAATGTGAGAAACTTCAGATTTGAATTTGTAGTTAATTTCGAAGTTATCTTGATCTATGCAAAATAAAGCAATAAAAGTTTGGAATTTGCCTGCTTTCCATCATAGTATCAGTGCTACTCAGTAAGGTAAATATTTTCTTTGTACTTCTTTTTAACAATTTTCACACCTCAGTTGAATAAAGTTGCAGAAATAATCTATTGAGTCCTAGGAATTAAGGTGAATTGGATCAGTGTGTCTTTCTGTCATATGCAGCTTAATGAGGTAAAGAAAGCCTCTGTTCTAAAATAATGCAACAAAAGCTAAAAAAAAAAAAAAAAAAAAAAAAAAAAAAAAAAAAAAGAAAGATGTTCGGTATGTCCCTTAAAAAGCTTTATATCCAAGCATTTGGACATTTAACTATATTAGAACATATGTATACCTTATCTATTTTTCCAAATGTTTATATAGTGACAGTGACAAGCAATTGCTATATTCCTAGACTTGATCCTTCCTCCTCTGTGTAATGCTATGGGTCTGTTTCCCAAATTTAATGAAAGCCCTTCAGCATAGGTGTTAGCTGGGTAGGCCAATAATTGTATCTCATTTGAACAAACGTTTTCTTGTCATGTCATTACACATTTTTATCTGTATGGGCGTGAACACAAAAATGGCTCAAATGATTTATTTGGATTCTTGCACTCTACTAATTTATGTAAAGTGTCTAAATAGATAACACTTGTTTTTTGCTTAAAATATCAGTTAGTCACTCTAGGTCAAGAGGACATATCTGTTCTATAGGCTGTGGTTCAATTCCAAGGATATGTCTGGAGGGTTACAGGGGTCAGGTGAATGCTGCATTTACCAGAAAGGCTGTGAAAAGGCAGATATCATTGAGAGAAAGAGGAAAGCATGTCCAGTAAGAATGGTGACATAAGGATAGAAACAATAAAGTGGGGTGATTGGGGTGGCTAGGAAAGATCGAGTTTGTGAGAAGTGCGTGCGATTCCTGGAGGTTACTCAGGAATCTAGGGTTGTTTATAGGTTTATGATTCACATATGGGAAAGGCTACTCATCTATGCCACAATGGGCAGGGTCACCAATATTCTATTGCAAAGTGCAATTAGCCCTTGAGTAGCCCAGGCTTGAACTGCACGGGCCCACCTATACCTGGATTTCTTTTAAAAAATCAAGCACTAACTGTATTTTCGACTTGTGGTTGGGAATCTGTGGATGCAGAGGACTGACTATAGTTCTATGGAGATTTTCAACTGCATGGAGGCCCCAAACCCCATGTTTTTCAAGGATCAACTGTAATTTTTTCCTACCAGATTTTTAATATTAAATGTTATTGTCACTTTCCCAAGCTGAATTTCTTTTATCCAAACCATCTATAGCACAATGAATGGAGAGTAACTATAAAAAAATCTTTTACTGAAAATTTTGAAATCTGAGAACATTCCAAGAAAATTTCTGTGGTTATGTGCTTGCAATAGGAACCAATAAAGTAGTAGTTTTTCATGGAACTATTGATTTCAATACCTCATTTGTGTAAAGCCAGACTGAAATATTGCTCATAGTGTGATACTTATTTACACTAATATATTCAAACAATTATGCAGTAACCATTCTCTAAATTATTAAGTTTTAGATGTCTATACAAAGAATATGTGATGAAGAATACAAATGATTGTAAATAAATATTTCAGATCATTAATGGAAATTTTTATTAACTTCCTTTACAGACTATTTGAAAAAAAATCCATAATGGTCTTGTGGAATAAAAGCCCATTTCCATGTGTATCACTGAATCTTCTTTTTAGTGACCTTTTTTCAGCAGGTTTTCATTCCTTTGGAATATTCAACTGACACATCTCAGAATAATTAAAACTGTCTGATCAAGTGATAAAAACTACTAATTGCATTCATTTCATCACCTGCATACTTTTTAGGAGGAGTGAGAAAACCCATATAAGACTGCAAAAACCCATGCATTTATTTATAAAGTTTGTTCCTAAATAACTTGATGTTACTGTCCAGTGCCCTATTTACAGTACCTGTTTTGTAAATAATTAAGGTTAATATGTTTATTGAAGCAATTCTTATTAAAGTTGGTATTTTTGGTTTTCTTTCAAGGATCCCCTGTTTCACCTGGAATCACACAGGTCTGAGAGAGGAAGGGGCAGGTGTCCTTTTGATCCCAACTCCTCCTTCATCTCCACTTTAATTGGTAACTATTGCTGCAGCAGACATCAGATGCTAGTCTTACCGATTTTGAAACTTCATTTGTATTCTTTTGGTATTTCCTTGTGCATGTTGCTTTGTCATATCTGTCTGTTTGTACTGGGAGTGATGATATTAAATTTCAAGTCATGCTAATTTGACTGTAAAAATAAGTGCAACAGCTTTGAAGTATGGGTGTCTCATTCTGAAAACACAAATTGTCACTTAGCACCTGATATAAGATATTTTGTATTGTACCATGCATGTTCAAAATTCAACTATATGAATATTTTATAAAAATTTAACTAGATAAACTATTTTAACTTATGTTAATTCTTTATATTTTAGTTTTTCCATGATTTTATGGGAACTTTTAATAGTCTTTTCTTGGTGCCTTTCTCTGTTTCAGTAGAATTCAACAGAAATTCATCCTAATTGAAAACTTCAAAGTTATTTATAAAAATTCCTGTTAATCTAGAGTGTAAGCAATAGAAGTCGACCAGCTCAAATGACCACTAATGTCCACATTGGAATAATAGGATAAGCTGGCCATGTCTGTAGATTTCAGTTTGATTCAATTTAATACGATGAAGAACCTTACTTAAAACACAGCACAATATTTCTTTTTTTTCTTATACTATTTGGGGTTTAAAGTGGCACACTTCTTTTTTTTTTTTTTTAAATATATTTTATTGATTTTTTACAGAGAGGAAGGGAGAGAGATAGAGAGTTAGAAACATCGATGAGAGAGAAACATTGATCAGCTGCCTCCTGCACATCTCCTACTGGGGATGTGCCCGCAACCCAGGTACGTGCCCTTGACCGGAATCGAACCTGGGACCTTTCAGTCCGCAAAAAGTGGCACACTTCTTAAAAACTGAAGCACTATGATGGTACAGACAGATAGATGAGTTCCCAATTGTAAGACTGAAGAGGATGGTCCCTGACATGTAACATGGGTGCTATTAGGGATCATTCTGATTTTACAGTGTTGAGAGGTTCTGACGTAGGTATAGAACGATGTACAAATTCCTATTATGTCATTTGCAACACTTAGCATTACATGCTAATGTAAGGCCAGCCTATTTTCAGAAAATGAGAATGTATAAAAAACATGTAGAGACTTCCTATTTGAAATAAATGGTAAAACTGAACACCCCCCCCCCACTGATGATTAATCAAAATATGTTATGCTTGATTTAGAGCTGATATAGATGTTTCTGTACATTCTGCAGACTTTGTGTTGCCTGAACTTATCCCAGACAATTGATTTTGATGGGCTTTCTATATCACTTCCTACATTTCTCCATCTTATGTTAGCCTTAATTAATAGGGAAAGTTTCATTTATTCCAGCTTCACAATTTGAAAGGGCTGTAAGATGAGAATTTCACATAATAATTAAGTTCATCAGGGGCTTAAATAAAGAGATGTGTTTTTTTTAAAGAATACAATTGTAAAGAAAACATTTTTAAGATATATTGAGTTCCTCTGTTAACCTCTGCGTGTGTGCGTGCATGTGTAGTATGTGTAAGTAAACAGAATATTGAAGAAGGGAGATTTATAGTATGGGAATAGTGTTGCCTATATCAATTCAGACTTAGTGGGAATCAAAACCATAGGAATGAGAATGCCAGATCTGTAAATATGAGAAATTCCTAGTAGATTAGCAGCATATAATTAATTTACATGCATTTGGTAGACTCATACAACTTTTCCTAATGTTTTATTGATTTCTAGCTGCAGCTATTTAAGATTTGAATGTCTGAATGAAAGAGACGATCACATTTCTTTTACCATACAATGTCTTGTACAGAAAAGACCTCCTATAAATATTGACTGAATGGAACACTCACTGGGGTTCCTAAAGAAGCGAACAAACAAAATAAATTTTAGGATATTACTTATAAGAATGTTACAAATGGTATTGAAAGTCAAAAGTTAGACAGGGGGTAACATGGGGATAAGGACACATATGTAATAACTTAATCAATAAAAGAATTTTTTAAAAAAGTTACACAGCAATTGTATAGTGAAATCCTCAAAAGATTAGAACATCATTTGTTTTTAATGATTTATTTAAATTGTTCAAAGTAATTTCTTTTCCCACCTTGCCACTCACCATTCAGACTCCCTGGAGCTTGTTTATGCGTGAAACAAGAAATTTAAAACCGAATTTTTTAAAGAGGGGAAATATTACTGCAGAGACTTTTCCAAGTGAGTTTCATGGAACTTCCAAATCGAATTACACTCTGCTGAAATGTGAAATGCTTACCGTCTGGGTGGCTGTTTCACTTATTCAGAAGAGAAATCAAATCAAAAGGGCCCTCCAAGCTAAACACGAACGTTATAGAATAATCCCTCCAAAGAGAAGAAGTAAAAATATAATTCTTCACGTTTTATCCACTAGCTTTCATCCCAAAGTACCTCTGAGAGATCATTCACTCACTGTGGAAATGCAGCAGCCACTGGGATGGAAACCTGATAACCTGTGTCAGCCAGCAACTCTTTAAAAAGAGAGGAAGTAGAAATAACTTACTTCATTGAAAAAGCAGCAGGAATTTGGGCTGGAAAAAAAAATGCAGCTACCTGCCTTGGAATTTGGCAAGCTCAAGGTAGCTTACTCTGACAGGGAAAGAATGCATTAATGTGGTATTTTCTGACCACACGTGTTCGCTGCTGATGGGTTAGGACAAGACGCTAGCAAAACGATGACCATCTTGAGACCATTGCTCCTTCTTTGTTTCTTTGTTAGTCATAGGTCAAACTTAACTTATAATGCCTGCTCACATTAAGATATACTTTCATGATAAGAAAAAAAAAGACAACACAACAACTTGAATTTGTAACAAAACTCATAAAACTACCAGGGCGCTCAACGAAAAAAATGTGCTTGCAAATCAAAGACATTCTTATAATTTCTTAACTTTAGATACATTTTTTATTTCACTTCCCTTAGATTCCATTGACATAGAGTAAAATCTTCCTGTAAAATTGAATATAGAATGAAGATTATTTGCTAGGTGAAACAAGTTAACCAATACATTTTCATTAAACTTGTAATTTATTAGTAAAATGTTAATAACTTGTAATGATTCTATGTGAAACAGAAGTTAAAGAGTAAAACAAGCTCCTTATTGAGCTATGTTCTGTATGTTCAGAAACCAATCAAAATGAAAAATGAAATCATCTATTAATTAGGGTTACTCATCAAAAGTCACTCAGTATTAATATAATTTATTTTGGTGGCATATAAGTTCATATCCTAGGAGTAATATTTCCAAATGTTTAACCACATTTATCCCCTACTGTGATTACTAATAGTATACTTAAAGTAGTTTTAAGTATACAAGACAGTAGAACCTGGTTTGTAAAAGATTGTTGAAACAATGAATATTTAGTAAATGAATTGCTACATCTCTTGCCTATACCTTTTAAATCATCCAAAGATACTTAGTATTTTACTTGCTACTAAATTGGTAGGTTTGGTAACTCACAATATTAAAATTCAGGAGACATTTTTTGTATGTTATATGTTATTTTGGCCAGAAGGAAAGATAATAGCTGACTCTTTTAATCAATGATATATGATATATTGTTGCAATAGCCTCCTTTTTATGTTGATAACATCTTTGGTAACTTTATGGTTTCCCTTATATTTTGTCTTGTCCATTCTATTACCATGTTTTTAAGGCATTTCATTCTGAGCCAGAATTGTTTTGTCAGTTCCAGGCATAACTTAGTACCTACCACACCTGAGGTGTACTAACATTCATGTTACATATTACTAGTTTCGGGGGGATAGACCACTTTAATTTGCCCTGTACCTTTTAACACCACTTTGCTTTGAAAGTATGAGCTTTGTGGTTGGGCTATTTTTAAGATACTCCTTAAATTAAAGACTTGCTAAAAATTATTTCAACAAGTAACCACCAATAAGATATTTCACACTCACTAAAATTTTCTTTTTATGTTTTTTTTTTGTCCTGTATTACTATTTTCAGGAAATAAATTGACAAAAGTTTACAGCCACTGAAATTTTCTTCCTGCACTTTTATCTGTAATAATGAGACTTTTGTGAATATGTCTCCTCATTACAAATTCTGTTAATTAAAGGTAGATGTTGATTGAATGAAAAGGAGTTGGAATACATGCAGGGAAAAATTAACTGATTATTTCAAGCTCTTAATATCATTAAGACCTTTTTAATCAATAAATGTTTATTTTAAATATAATTCAGAGCAGAGTTATAAATGAATCTCTTCCCACAAAATATAACTTAATAATATAGAAAAATAAATTTAAAAAATAAACGAAGGTAAAATATGTCTTCATAATTACAGCCTCTATAATTGTAACAAGTGAACGTGCTGGCTTGTGTCTTGAATTCATTGCAACTTTATAGAAACTTAGACTTAAAGTTGCTCCCTTACCATGTTTCCATCCCTAAAGAATATATGTAATTTCTTATCACAGACTGCTGCTCTCAGATTTGGCAGAATGCCAGGTATTCACATGCTCACTGTTGCTTCTGGCCATAACCGTGAGTCCCCAAGGAACTATTTGAATACTTTGCTTAAGGTTTCTTCAAAACAAAATAAAAAGTCATAAGAAAAGAAGTCCCACCCTTCAATTCCCCATTGACATCCTCTCCCTTAGGAATCTCGTTTGACCATGTCATATCAATCTCACCGGTTTGCCACCAAGAAATCTCAGGGTACTGCCTTGGGTGCTGGCAGATGCCAACAAAGAGGCTCAGAACATTTTCCTTCTTCATTCAGGCCTCAGGAGCCACCTTCTTAACACTGATAGCTAGTGCTGGTGATCTGCCAAAGGAAAACAAACAAAAAGCCTGCACAGCAACTACATAACGAAGAACAAAACACAACACATTCGTTCCCGTTTCAGCATTCTAAGCAAATTGAGGGGGAACTGGGATGATGGATTATGTGGATCATTTTTACCCGTATTTATCTTCCGAGTGTGTTTTGTTTCTGTTTGCAGTTACA